GGAAAGAAAGGATAGCAATCCAAATAAAAAATAATTACGGCCTTGTATAATAAGCTAATCTGACATGGGCCCACAGAACACCCCCAACAGTTTTAAAAAACAAAATTATGTGGGGGAAATCATTATAAATAATTAAGAGATATTTGATTCTAGATTGTATTAACAGTTTTATTTTAAATTTTTTATTTTATCTTGTGAGATATTTTTTGATTGTTTATATTTTTTTATCCCTTAACAAGTGCACAATTATTATTATTAAAATTATCAGACTCAAGTATCTTTATAGTACCTTAATTCTAGTATATACTACAGACAAGATTTTTGGATTTAATGGTCCAAGTATTTTAAATATTTTTTATTATTAATATAATTATTAAAAAATTTTAAAAACTATTATTATTATTAAAAAAATTATAAATTTAATTTGAAAGGATTAAAAACTATAACAACTTGAGTTAAGTAAATTTAATACTATTATTTTTATTATAAATACTATTATTAAAAAAACCATCCAAGTAATTGAGTGAATTCATTAGGTATCATACTATCAAATTCAAAAAGTTTGAAATATTTTTTTATATTTTTAATATTTTACAAAAATAATTTATATTAACGCGTTATAAAGCACGAGACACGACCAAGCAGATAAATCCTCTACTGCCTGCAGGCAATGTAACCAGTGACGAATTTACAAGTGCTGCCTTATGTCAGAATTTGGAAGAATGCTTACATAGTTTTGCTACTCCTTTTGGTCTTGGAAGTGATAAATTACAAAAGGTAGCCTCCCATCTATGGTTGGCTGCTAATATTCTTTAGAATAGCAAAATTGCCTTAAGTTGAAAGCATTTCTGTAATGAACTTCAAGTAACATAACTATTAAACCATCATGAAAAACTAGAAAAAGAGCAGAATTATACAGGAGTTGTGGTGGGATTATCCATTACAGAAGTAACCTGGAATATGTTTCGGCAACACCAATTAAAGGATTGAAGGAGAGGAAGATAGTGTCTTGTAACACGAACACAGGTATTCACATGGATTTTCTCTGAGAAAACAATTGATATGCAGATTAGTCTACTTTTCTTTCTCCGTTCTTTGTTTTGGGTGCTTTTTTATGGAGAGGAAGCAATGATAGCAGATGTTACAGAACAGACCCAACTACATGTCAAAGGCTCCCTTAATACCCTCCAGGGACTCTCCCATTGATTTCCTGAAAAAAAAAAAGAAAAGCAAAGAAGAAAATTAAATAATCGAACTTCTAAATAACAAGTAGGACATTAATTTGATTTTGAGGCTAATATGGATTTTTAAAATATAGGAAATGTAACAGACAAATATGTCTCAAGTTCAATATGAGAGCAAACACAATTTCGAATCAAGTTAACCAGACAAATAACTTGAGGATATGACCTGCAGTCCGTGAGTAAGCAACTAGTTCATAACAAAGTCAAGAAAAGAATCCCAGGAGAAGTAGAAGAAAGAAGATTCAGAAAAGCATACAAATTAAGTGCTGATGATAAAAAAAGAAGGACATTTTAGTATCACAAAAGTGAAGTGACAACTACACCGTATTACTGAAAAATGTGATCATAGAATCGAAATGAACTTTCAAGACTTCCAGTAGCATGACTTCATTGTTGAAGTTTCTTAGAATCACAATAGCGTGAAAATTTAGTTACTCATCCACATAATGCACCACAAGTTATCGAACAGACAACATGATAAGTCAGCAAGAGGATTATTTCAAATAGAGAAGAACAACAATAGAGCAACTAAGATTGTGACCTCAAGTTTGTAAGGTAGAGAAACAAAGATGCCTAACTCCACCCTATATGTTGGGTTTGTCTTAAATTGTGGGTTTAAGTTAGAAAAAAAAATACCCATGTGCTTACTCCATATAAAAAAAAAAATTGTCATGTTTTAGGGTAAGACTGATTTGTGAGTGATTTTATCACTGTACACTTTGGTTGCTACAGAAAAGAGAGAGAAGTGAGTTTTGAGATACTTTGAGATTTTGGGTGGGAGCATTTCTTGTAACATTATGTAATCTTCTACTCTCTAATAGTGAATTTCTTTTATCATCTCGTTCATGGAGTAAGCCTAAGTTACCAAACTACATAAATGTCTTGTGTGATTGATTGTGTTTGTCTTTTATATTTCTCTGCTTAGATTTGAGATTTTAGGTTTGTTTCCACTACACTATAATTAGGGAGCACACTCTTGGTTTCACTTTCACTTAAGGTAAGCATTTCAATTGTTAAACTCACTCCTGTTATTTCCGAAAACAATGAGCAAAACCCTTTTTCACAGAATCAGCTGATTAAGTGTCTAGTAAACTCTTGGCACTCTCTCCCAAGTTTCTATCCTCTCTTTCTAAACAAATTTATGACGGCAGTGTCTCCAAACTAAATGATGGATCTGAAGGAGGTCCATGAATCAGGCAATAATATAACAGGAATTGAGAGAAGGCAAATCCTCAAGGAACCAGCCACTAACATGATGCCATGACAAACAAAAATGAGGGAAAAGATGGATTACACAGACCAAGGACGCACGAACAGAGAAAAAAACCATCAAAATTGAATGAAATTAAAGCACTAACATTGTTCATGATATTTGATGTCATAAAATTCATTTTGTGAACCAGAACTCTAAAAACAAAAGGGGTACAATTTGACCAAACACAAGCAAGAAATTTGAGCACCATATAATTTATTTCAGGTCTCGAAACCCAAATCAGTATATTCAATAACAAAGCCCCACCATACTGCCTTGTCCTTAAAGTCGATCTACTATTTTTGAGAAAACATGTGATACATTTTTTTATGAAGTGTCATCATAAGTAATACATTTTTTGTCAATCCATTATTTTTAACAAAATTTGTGATACATTAGCCAAACTATGTTTTTCAATGTTGTGGATGATGCAACTTGAAAACTTTGATGGGTCTTTTTTTGGCATGTACTTATAATTTAGGATCAAAGTAACTCAAACATAGCACCGAAAGCTAACACAATTAAAGGTCACGAAACAGGTTGTAAAATGAGCCAAGAAAAACTTTTAAATAGATGAGAATAGTAACCTAATATCTAGCAGTCAAAGGATCTTCTTCAGTATCCTACTTGTATATTTCATTTCAAATGGCTACAAACAAGGACAACAGTCTCCAGTTTGACAAAGTACCTCATAACAACTAAACAAGTATTTGAGCATAAAAGTTTGAACCAGCAAATTTTGCCACAATACTAGCATAAAATTCCTTAAGAGGACAAACAAATAAGAAAATCACCCCCCATGGCAGGAAAAAAAAAAGAAGCAGATCAGAAATTGAACACAAGATTAAAGTTCCATTGTATATTCCTCTCCAGCCAAAAAATGAAATATGCAGATCATCTGCTTTTCACGCAATGCCTCAATTCCACATACAGCTCGTAAACATGACAACCGTCTTTTGTCCTACCTAGTATCTCAGGAGCACTGCCTTCATGACTATCAATATGGGGAAAGTCATCAAGAACACCTACACTCAGTACCTTCTTTTCAAAAAAAAAAAGATTAAAATTAAGTATCTTCTTCAACTGGCCTTATCTCCAAAGCAGCAAGTTTCTCCTCAGTTCCCCAAAACCACTTCCACAAAGGTGTTATACATCATAGTACTTAACAGAAGACCAAGGTCCAAGAACACATTTCTCACCAAAATTCACTCCATCCTGCCTAGGAAGTGGTCATCAGGCTAACTTCAAATTCAACTATAGCACAACAAAGCATAACCCGCCCAATTTTCAATACCATTGACGAAGACATATGTTAAAGGCAACACTCGCATACACATAACTCTAACCAACTTAAACAGAAGCATGTCTCATGATGTTGATTAATTTTTTAGGATAAGGGAGAACATGGGCAGAGGTAGAGTTAGTTTCATTTAAACCCAAATAGATGAAAGGCTAGAAAATTCACTAGATAAAAATGTGGGAACACCATCCACTAAGTACATCAAAAACCAACCAGATACCTCCAGATGTTTACATATGGATAATATAATCAACCCAATTAAAGGCCAGAAACTTATTCACACCAGAAATCTTGTTGTTATATTCCCCCATAAATCTAATCATAAACACCCAACGCACTCCAAAGAATCTTCATTGAAGATATAATTCATAAAAACAAATTGCTTCACCACTGCCACTCCATTATAGCATATAACACAGAGATTCAACATCTCTAGACGGCAACAAGAAGTAAAATTCCCAGAATGTCAGCATGATTCAGATAAGAAATATCAAAGATCTCAAACCAGCTGCATCACAACTAAAACCATAAAAAGTTTTTGAACTTACTTATACATACAGTACTTGTACTCTTGACTTCTTGTGAAATCTTTCTCTCCTTCTTCAAGCTAAACAGAAAGCAATAAAAAAAAACTTATATAAACCAATCAAACAAAAATCAAACCCAACTAAAGAAACCCACATTCAGATTTAACTGACCGGATCACTCTCATATATAAGCTCATAACAAATTGGAGAAAGACACTTCAAAGCGCAATTCTCCTTTGCTGTCATCGAAGTTTTGCATTGTTGACCCCACAGCCCACTGTTTCCATCAACAAATCACAACCCATCAAAGAAAAGACACCGAGATATGTGTTTGTATCACTAATAACCTAATAGATTCACAGCATGTTGTTTCATATAAATTTTCTCAAGAAACAAACTGAAAGCATGAGAAAGAAAAGATACGTGAATATAAATAGTTTTTAATTCACCTCTCTATATCAGCATAGCACTCATTCTTAATTTGCCTGACCTCAACATCCTGTAATCTCAATAAAAAAGAAGAAGAAGAAGAAGAAGATCAAAATAAAAAATAAATAGAGAAATAATTAAATCAAAGAAGACAATGAAAAGAGAGAGAGAGAGAGAAATTGGGTTTTACAGTAATCGGGCGAGGAGACTTGGAGAGAACTGAAGAAGGGTTGATAAATAGTAATAACAATAGAAAGAAAAAGGTAAAAAAGGAATTTAGTCGAGACTTATCATCAAAGTAATAATAAGCCATATCTATCTCTACTCTGAATCTATCAGTGCATGAATGATAATTGAACTCGCTGTGACAGAGAACACAGGAAGAAGTAGAAGATAGAACTACCTCCGAGACTTTCTTTCGGGTCTTTTATCAAAGAAGTGTTTATTTACGGTAATGTCAGTTTATGTGTTCCAAAAATATTTTTTAAAAAATTTAATTTAATTTTTTATAACAAAAATATTTTTTAAAAAATTTAAATTTTTTTATTAATTTTAAAATAATATATTTTTAATATTTTAAATTATTTTAATATATTAATATTAGAAATAATTTTTTAAAATTAAAAAAATTATTTATATATATTTTAATATAAAAAATTATTTAAAAAACAATCACAGTTATATTATAAACGAAAGACCTTCACATTTTTTTTTTGATTGGTTTAGTTAGTTATAAATTATATATTTTAATTGTTAAATTCATAAAAATAAAAATAATTATACTTTCCTGATTTCTCCCCTTCCCTCTCTCAACTTACAAGGTCTTCTTCTCTCATCAATTTTTATCATCTGACTTTTTCATTGTGCTTCCTTCTTTTAACCTTACATAGATTGCATACCATCTTTTTTTTTTTTGTTAGCGATTGGAGATCCCAACCATCTTTAGGAATATTTGAGCTTGTTAGCAAATATGTTGCATTCTTCTTTTATTGATCTTTCCCTGTTTTCTCTATTGTTCCTCCCTTTCTCATTCCAAGCCCATACGAACATCACACACTCACCTTGTTTTGTATCTAATTCCTTGCTCGCATCACTATTATTTTCTCTCTCGTTCCAACCTTACACAGACTACTCCCAATCACTATTTTTTGTAGCCAATTGGGGATCCTAGTTATTTGCCAACAGATCTATTACCTTCTTCAACTCCTTTCGTGATTATGGCACTTCTTTATAACTCATAAATGATTAAAGATACACTAACATTATTATGATCTTCAGAGTAATTTTCTTGTTAATTTATTTTAAAAACTTTATGTAACATCAAACCTACTACAATAACCATACCCTTCTTCTTCCTTTTGTATAATTTATCTCATTCTATTTTCATTTAGAAACTAATGAGCTGACATTTTTGACAAGTTAGAAAGAATAATAAACTCCTGTTCTATGTTAAGGGGTTTTGTTTTCTGTCTAGAACTAAAGAGAGCTTGCAAATCTATCTCATATAAAGCACAACAAACACCTGATCTCTATTTCGGTTGATCCTACAAATCAAGGTCAGTTGCTGTGGTTTTTTAGTTACATGTTTTTAATTTTTAGATAATTTTAGGAAAAAATTAAAGTCATGCTCTTATATATCCCCCATACACTAAATGAATCTCTAAGTTAAATGGTGACACGACGAAAAGATTGTTGTCTTCGAGTGTTTTAGCATTATATAAGTTAAATGGTTTTAGAGTTTTTTTTTTGTAATATAATGAATAGTGTTTTTCTTTTGTATGAGATCTTTCTAATGTATTGCCTATATATATATATGCATTATCTAAATTAAATGGTTTAAGGTTTAGAATTTTTTATTAGTAATATTTTGAATTATGTGCTGCTATTATGTGGGATTTATCAATAGCTTAGGAATAAGTTAACTTAATTATGTGCTTTATGTTTTGGTCTGCTCATTTTATAACTCTCTTTTCTTAAATTGCATGCTTTCTTTAAATTGTTGTTTTAAGAAAGTTGGTGCAGTCCATGTCTGTTACATTACCTTTTAAAAAATTATCCTATTAATTGTATGTTAGAAATTTCTTTTTTAATCGAGAACATGAAAGTTTGTCAATCACAAGATAAGGCTTGTTGGACAAGAAAGATGTTGAACACATTTTGTGACATTTGTATCAAAGCAATTGAGAAAGGTATGCAATTGAATGTATCAAAGCAATTAATAAAGCAATTGAGAAAGGTATGCGACCGAACACACATTTTGACAAAGCTAGTTGGAAATATATTATGAATTGTTTTAAGGAGCGAATTAGCAATGCATTACGAAAGTACAATTACAGAATAAGTGGGACGGAATAAAAAAAGGATTAGAGAATATGGAAAAAGTTCATTTTTAAAGTGGGAGTAGGCTGAAGTACTGAACTTGGAACAATTTTGGCAAGTGACGAGTGGTGGAAATCTAAAATCAAGGTCTATTTTTTTTTAGTACGTGTACAACTGCAATAAACTATTTTATTGTTTGTTGTTACAATAATTATGATGTATTTCTATCTTCACTATCCCTTGTTGTAGGAGATACGAGGAGTCAGAAAGTCTAGGCATGTTGGTATCGATCCTACATTGTATTGTAAATATGATATTATTTTTACAAACATTGTGGTTACTAGTCAGTATGCTTAGGTTTCATCATAATGTTTGAATTCTAATGATGATGGTTTTGGTGAAAGGAGAAATAATGCATCTAATGAGGATCCACATCTAGAGAAAGGTAGTGATGATTCAAAGAAGGATACTTTACCAAATTTTGTAGATGATGTCAATTGTAACGTCTAGGCTAATCATTTCTATTAGCGCCAAAAGATCCTAACATATACTCTTAATTTTAGGGTAATTTTTTGTATTTGCAAAGAATTTTACCAAAATTTTGGTAGAGTTTTCTTTGTATATAGAACAAATTCCTAGTATTTCTTCATTTACAACTTTTATACACTTTAACCCTTTATCTTTTAATTCTACATTCCCTTACCTTAATAGCTAGATTGACTTTATAATTTATTTACTTATTATGAACTTACTCCTTAATTATTGAATTTTTTTCTAATAAATTTGAACTTAGGGTTTACAACAATAATATGATTGTTAGTGTAAATTTTGCCAATAGTACTAACAATCCTAGTAGTAATAGTGGGAAGAGAAAAAATATTCAACAATGTACACAAAAGAGAGAGAAAAAAAGGTTCAGGAATGGGAGCGCAACTATTTTTGTGTTTAAATCAATTGGTTGATAGTGTATCTACTAGGAGTGAATGCACATCAAGTGGTTATGATAAAAAAAAATATAGCATAGAATAGGTCATGAAGGAGTTTCATTCCATTAAGGAAGTGGTTTTTGGCAGCGAGCTTTATTGTTTTGCAACTGAGTTTTTCATGGTTAGAAATAGGAGGGAAATATGGGCAGCAATTGGAGATAAGGAAAGAAAATTTCAATGGCTGAAATTAATGTTTGAGAGGAGGTCAAACATAAAACTTTGACATAAGTATAAATATGTTATAATGTACTTACACTTAATTATATTATATTTCTCAGCAATTAAAGCTGATTATGTTGTTATATGTTTTTTTTAATATTACATGTATTTTATATTTCAAGTGAAGTGTTGTTGGATTGTATATAACACCGATTCTATCAAAGTACTTTAATGATCCATGAACATATTTTGGTGTTATGTGTTTTGGCAGTTACAAGAGTATAATATGAATCTTTATGCTGATTTGCACTATGGGCTACTACTATTGTTGTTGTGTTGTTATAATATGGTTTAATATACATGATTAGTCTTTGCTGGTTTTTCACATTTCTAATTGGGAACGTATATTATATTGATGTATTGCATTTTATTTGTATTTATTGGATAATTGTTCCTCTTTGAGAGTTCAAAAATATATTGGAATGCTTCTTGTTAGAAGCTGGAATTATAGATGTCAAATGTGGTTTGTTTGCTGTAAATATTTGGGTTATGCTTGTTGTTGCAATCTAGAATTGGATATTGGAATTTATAAGTTTGAATTGTTGTTAACATGTTGATTGTTAGCTTTGATAGTTTGGATTTGTTGGTATAAAGTTGGTTTGAATGACTACTAAAGGTTGTCATTTGTACGTTTGTTTCATGTCTTTCATTGTCTATTTAAACACAATTTCAATTGCATCACATTTATTTAAGTTGCCAACATATAACAAGGCATTATCACTTTAATTGCACTATTTTGAGAAGGTAAATTGTCAGTTTTAAGGTTATATAATAAATCAATTTTATGTACAATCATAGCTTTGTGTTCACCTATTTTTTTTATAAATCCTCATTCCTCCTCCATTAATTGTTCTTATTATTGCAAACTTAACTGAATTTGTTATAAATCCTCATTCCTTCTCCATTAATTGTTCTCATTATTGCAAACTTAACTGAATTTGTAAGTGATAAGTATGTTTATGATGCATGCAATATTGTTTTTGTTAACTATTACTAAAAAATCAATGATAATTTGGGAATGCTTTATAGTTATTGTTTTGATTTAAGTTTAAGTCAATATGAAATTTAAATATTCAAAATAAATTCCTCCATTTACATGTATTTATGACAATTTCATGGGTGATAAATTATATTGTGTTGTATATATAGATACGAATTGGTTTAATGATATATTTGATGATGAGTATAACAATGTTATGAATAATATTATTCAATATGTGTCAAATGGTTTTGGTGGTACAAGTACTAGAAGTGGTTTTGGATGTAGTACTAGAAGTGGTTTTGCTAGTAATGGGAATAATACAGATGATGATGACAACGATAACAATAACAATGCAAATAAACACGACGATGATGATGAAGACAATTTGTTTTGGCTTATAGAGTGTGATTGCAATAAATTAATATTATATACTGCTGGAGCATTGACTTTGTATTATAATAATTATATTTTCAAAGAACCATGTATGGTTTCATACAACACAGGAATGAGATGGTTGAATGAAATTTTAAATGGGTATTGAGTATGTTATGTTAACATGTTTTTGAATCGATGCAAATACATTGCAGAATTTATGTATTGATTTGGAAATGTTGTATATGATAAATCAATCTAGAAGGATGAGTGTTATTGTGAAGGTAAGCATGAGAGATTTAGCTCTAGGAGCTTCAAGTAAGAAATTTCATGAGAGATTTCAACATTCAAGTGAAACCGTAAGCAAATATTTCAACAAAGTTCTTAGGTTAGTGATTAGTACTTAAAAGTGCATTCTCATTAAGGATTTATGTCATCATATTGCACCTAAAGTATCATTAAATTCCCTAATAAAAGCATGTTTTATATTAGCAAGTCTAAAAATATAATATACCTTTAATTCATGGTAAATGTTTATCCTAAATGCAGGTCTATCA